GAGCGAGGAGCGAGCTACAGCCGCTGAAAGTTCTAGTTCTAACGCCCGCTCAGTTGGACCGCCCACTTGCTAGATGCCCTCTGACGGAGGGCCGCTCAGTTGTTCTTTGTTGGGGCGGCGGGCATTAATCGGAATTGCATGTCCTTTTTGCTGACCGCGCTGGTGCCAATAAGTAATTCTGCTCTCCTTTATTACATTTTATTCATTAGGAGCACATACAGTCAACTGCAACCCATCTCGCAAGGTAAAACGCGTAAAAATCACGAGTGATGCAATTTTCGTGGTGCAAAAGCTCGACATGCACTAAAAGATGCACGCTACCGTAACCCTAAATTCGGACGCCGAGTTTTTGAAATTTTTTTGTCAAGAGTTTTTCGTCCGTGTTTTTGTTGTTTTTCGTATTCTTTTCTTTGCATTGGATGATATCACTACTGGGAGATGTGAAAAAGCGATTTGTGAGCCAGGGGTTGCATAGAGACCGCAGGGCGTTGTGAATGTCAGGGAGCAATTTTGTTGGTGGGTTCTTGCTTTTTTTTCTTTGGATAATTACTTATCAGCTACTCTTTCCTGAATCAGCTACTCTTTCATAATTGAACAGCAACTATCCATGACACTTTGTCGCGGGAACTATCTTTAAGACTCAATTTTGAGAATGGAAGCTGGGCGGTGATCGGTTTGGTCCGGGCATTTTGCCGGTTTCCGTCGATCACTGTCGATACCTCCTGTGAAGACCTGTAGATTATTGTGAAGCTTTGCACAGTAAGAGTTGCATTTACGCTTGACAAGAATCCGCAGATCTTGCCAAGGTGAACCATATAGTTTGACAGGAAATATAATAGCAACAAATTCTATCGAAAGTGCAAAATGCCCCTCGCAAACCGAACAGGGCGAAAAACTGTATCTCGGTTTGTATGTAATTCTTTTGTGCCTGCGAGGTTGTTAGGTGGAACTGTTTATTGACGGCCTAACGTTTCGACCAGATCGTCGTCCTCGGAGGCCAAGTCCACCGCGGCAAGAGCGGAAGAAGCCGCCCAGTCAATTGTTAGTAGTATAGTATTTAATTATTGTTATTGGTATTATTTATTATAGTAAATACTACTAACAACTGACTGGGCGGCTTCTTCCGCTCTTGCCGCGGTGGACTTGGCCTCCGAGGACGACGATCTGGTCGAAACGTTAGGCCGTCAATAAACAGTTCCACCTAACAACCTCGCAGGCACAAAAGAATTACACACAAATAACAACGATGCCGAGGTTCTATGAAGAGAGAAGCTGGAGACTGTATCTCGGTTGTCTTCGCACCATCCCAATAATTCCAGTGCAGTACTCAGGGCTGCTTCGCCCTTCCACGTTGCATTCACATTTGTTTGAAGAAACGGTCCGCGATGACCTATGAAAATGCAAGAGGGTATGTGGGAAGGTAGTGCGGTCCGGAGTGGACAACCCTGTGCCAGTTTCGCGGCGTAAAGTTTAAAGGCATTAAGGCGCAAATTTGCTTCAGTGGTACATCCCTTTTTCCAGTGACTCCGCTTCCAAAGTCGGCCTTGCGGCCAAAAGTAATGCTCCCCGGCAAGTATCATGGAGGGCAAGTATCATGGAATGTCTTTTGTAGAGTCATAGGGTTCATTACTGGGAATCAGCCGACGGGAATTGTCCCAGCGCGCGGTCTTTTCGGTCTTTTACCTCTACAGTTGTTTGAGGCTAGAGGAGGCCTGACGAATGCGTTTCCAACGTTCCCTTTGGCATTTTTCTTCACAGACGGTTCACTTGTTGAATTTTCGTCCACATTTCTGCAACATCACCTAGGCTTTTTATCGCGGACCGTGCCTTTAATTTGCGATTTCGGTATAACTGCGCCCACATTCTCTTTTTCCTAACCTGCTCAAGAAGTCCAGGTACAAGTTGAATGTTTATTCAGAAATGTCTTCATATACATCTAGAGTCGGCGAGAATGGAATATGTTATCATGAGCCACGTTTTACACACTCACACAATAACAAAATTGTTAAAGAAGTGTCGAAAGCGAGGAGACGAACATGTAGATGATGAGAGATGAGAGTGATCGATCGTCGTTTTGGTTTTTGTTTCAGATTTACTCTTCTTCCTCTTCCTCCTCCTCTTCCTCTCCTTCACCACCTGAAAACAATTATTTCAACTGAATAAGTAGAAAACCGTAGAACGAAGTAACTACGGCTCGAGAACATTTGCAGGCACAGAGTCTGGTGGACCCCATACGTTCACTGCGGATTCTAGGAGCATGTGAGATGGCTCCCTTTGGAGCAGCACCAACCCTTTCTCCACCAATTATGAAAGCACGCAGGCGATCACAACTGGACAACAGGCTGGTGCCGCGCAATACCCAGCCCTCACCCTCTGACACCCCCAGCGTCCGCGGGGCACAAGACCGTACTTCACTCTGATAGAAAGTTGGTCTTCCAGTACAACCCGCCCCATACAGACGCATCAAGTTCCTCCCTCTTCAACATAAGGGTCTCCAAGATCAACCTCGCTCACTTGTCCTTCCCGCTTCTCAGGAACTTCATGGGTCTTATCGGGAGAGCAGGGGGTAGAGGGGCTGGGAACTATTGTCACCTGAAGTCACTGCACCTTTCACAATGCAGTAGACCTCTGTTAGGAGGACGAATGAAACCTCTCTTGTTCCAAAAAAACAGTGAACTGCGGCTGCTCGCGGAGAGGTTCTCAACAACAATATGCCTTTCTCGAGTGCTATGTTATGGGCAATAGCCAGGTCCCAGACACGACTCAAACCCGCACCTCCAGCTGACCGAGCGAGTGCGCCATTACGCCGTCAGGGGTGCTTTGCCTTCATATGCGTTTTTTTTTCATGTGCCTCACCTTCTTCCTCAGCCTCGGGTTCTTCTGCTGGTGGTGGGGCTTCTGGGGCTTCCTTCTTCTCTTCTTCCTCCTTCTTCTCAGCTGCAGGCTTCTTCGACCAGTCTGGCTTGTCCGTGTTCTTCTTTGTCTGTACAAATAATTATATGTCATTCATGGGTTTTGATTGATAGAGCTATCAGTAGGAAAACAGAAAAACAATTCGATTACCTTGGCCATGATATCCTCAATAGCAGTTTCCTTCTTAACAACCTTAAGATTCGCTCTGAAGTCGGCCTTCTTTTCGCCCTAAATCGATTACAACTTTGAGCTCGTTATCATGCCAATCAATATATTGATTGAGAACTGTATCCCTCTATGAATATACTATGATCACTGTTAAATATAATGAATGACAATGATTTGAGATACCTTGGTTTTCTCGTTCTCAGCCATCTTCTTGAATTTATTGTCATACTTAGAAACCTTCTTGAGGGTGGGCTTCACGCTAAAATGAACGACTTATGTTTTGTGATACATAAGCAGCAATATGAACTATCTAATAAAGGGGAGGGGGTTCCTGCATTTTCTAGGTAGTATCGGACCAAGTAGGTACGATACTCGCCGCCGGCCTATACCTGCGAAGCATTGTTTAGCACAAAAGTAAATTACATGGACGATAAAAGCAGGAAAGATTAAGCCTCTGCAGTACCAAGCGATGTCCAAGTTCAGTGTACCTACCTTCCCAAACTGACCAGGTGTTGTCCAGTGTTCCTATCTTCCCAAATTGACCAGGTGTCAACTCACAGTCCACTAAGGGTAGAAGACCTGGTTGGCCTGATTGGTAGCCGATGAAGGGCTTGATCCCCGGACCGTGCGCGTGGTAAACTCGTCCCTTCTACACCACCTCCGCTTCGTTCAGATGGAGACTCTTTCAGTTCTGTATGGTACTCAAATGAATTTCGCAGCAATCAGGGGTGAATCTGCCTCGGTCGTTGGTGAAATGGTTGCGTTTAGATCACGACATTCGGATTGTGGCATCGTGCAAAATAGCAGGTGTGACATCTAGTTGATCAAGGTATGTCGCATCCCACGTTGGACCAATCAAGTCATGGTCTGAATGCCGCGCGCGTGATCCGCTTGCAAAGTTTTCTCTCTCGCTCTCTTCGCAACTTAGACGCTCCGAAATCCACCCATGGCGCTACTGAAGAAGGAGAAGTCCAATCGTTTGAGACTGTTAGAAAGGCTGCACGAATGAATTCTCCTTGGTTCCTAAAATTATAGCACCGACGGACTGTCAACACTCCCACACCATGGCTGTCGAAGGGGTTTCTTGTATACGAGGAAGCTATAGCAGATCATAGAGCAGGACTCAGCTGCGGTCATTCCAGACGACCGATGGCGTCCACAGGGTGAGTATAGTTTGGGAGAAAGTGGGCCTATTTGAAGGGCTGACAGCAGAAGGATATGTCCAGTTTACTGCTGAAAACTTTCTTGTCACGTCTGCGCTCTCTATCCAACGCAACTCCTATCACCAGGACCTTTTCGAGTTCCTTATACAATAAGTAGCCCGCTCCACCCACCACCCCCCCCCCTGAAGTCCCTGGAAGGCCTTTTTCCGGATTGCTATTTCGCATCTTTCGCAGTTCTGGCAGCCGTGAGCGTCTAATCTCTCGCTTTCTGCTCGCTACAAGAGCTGGCATTCAAGTAATGAGAAAACTTGGAGGTGGATAGTATGCTTTTTGGACGGAACAGCGAAATTCCATTGCCGGGAAGGTTCCAAAGAACCGTAACGAACTTGGTCGCCAGTAGTGCGCTCAGTATTGAGTTGGCGTATTCTGAAGGGAATTAATAGGAAAGAGCTGAAGGCTCACAATTTGCCTCGCAGATCATTGACGGCAATGGTAAGCTCGTTGATTTCGGCTTCGGTTTGTGTGACGATGAAGTTGATGTCGTATTTCTCCTCTTCCAACTTCTTCACCCGTTCGAACATATCGTTGTAGATCTTCTCGAGCTGACCTGAAATAGAGGAATAAGGTAGCACATGGAGTTACCACAAAGCTTTTGGTTGACCTCACAGCCATGTGGGGGTAAGTCCCGTTCAACTTCTTTTCATAGTCTTGCACGCAAATTGGATGTCTTAGCATCAGGGTACGTCTGGCAGTTTTGTAAAATTCTTGCGAACAACCGAACCCATCGAGAATATTCTAATGTGATCTCCCCCCACCTCCCCTCTGCCCCCATCCTACTTACCATCTCCCTGAATTTTCCTTAATTCCTACTACTTTTCAGGAGTTTTTACTCAGAAACTGCGGGGGAAGGGAGTTATGGCGCACGTGAACCAGGAAAAACCTAGATAGGTTAGCAAAATATTTTCTCAAATAATAATTTTCATCGCAAATATGACTTGTCTTCATGCAACGACTAAACGCGAGTTCCCTCGCTGGCGATCCACAACGTGCAGGACGTGCCTGCTGAACTTTCTGTACCTTTGATCAGTTTGGGGGTTGTGACAGCTTGTTACCAGCCTGATTGCCTATCTAAGCCTCACGCTAGAATCGGCACAGGTTTCTCATTTGTTTTTGGCCACCCCGGGGCTCATTTATGTCATACTCTATCACTTAGACTCTCTGCCGCCGGTTGAATGAGCCCCAAACCCTACTCCCCCACCTGGCTGTGAGGTCTCACCGCCCTCAGGTGGTCAAATTCAATTACTTTTCGGGACTCCAAAGTTCTACAGTCAGGCATAGCTTTTTCATCCTGGAGGTGGCTGGTGCGCTAGTTTATGGGATACGAAGTACTGCAGGGAGTTATGGTAGACATATTGCAATCCGACAGGACGGTTCCAGGAGGCGTGGGATGAGCCTGTCCCGGCAGAGTTTTCTTTCAGTAATGTAACGAAATGTAAACTGGTGGAATGTTCAGGTTTGTCAGGTTGAGGAGTTGCGTGAGCACGTTTTGGCGCATCACCAGTCCACCTCTACCAGTGGCTGCCCACTATGGGAGGACAGCCACTGATGACAATAGGCTGCCGCTGCGTCAAAACTTATTCCATAGGGGATGCCTTTATCCGACGCTCTTGTAAGCGGGTACAAGTGCGCTACTCATGACCCAATTTGCTTATGTTATCGTCATGGCCCTTGGCATTGACTTCTGTTTCTCTAGGGTCCTTGGGTGTGTGGGAAAAATGTTGCACCATCACGAAGTCCCTTTCAATTCAGCGATTCGTCTTCACCGCTTGTTCCAAAAGACTAATCAATATATCGATTTCTCGTGTTATCACAACCAGCACTTCCCTCTCGCTGATCAGTGTATGATGGTGGTGTTTCGCGGAGTGTGGGCCATATTACACCCTAGCGAAAGCGCGATGCAATGTGCTGAGGCGTTTTGATGCCGGGAAAAACTTTGAGCACTCCGGGGAACTGCCGGCCAGTGTAAAGCTGAACGAGCAGAAATTCGTCGAGGGTGGACAAGCGATCACTCGATAGAACTATTATTACTGGTGCTATCAGAATCCGTGCATCTCATGGTTGAAGTTTTATTGGAATACACGGAAATCGATATATTGATCGGTTCAGGAAAGGGACCGCAAGCTAAAGAAGGAATCGGCAACATTTGACATCCTCCCTGAAGCCTGAGTTAGCGGTAGGGGAAATCTCCTTCTCGGCATCTCCCTCTCGTGCGCCTGGAAACTATCCTTCGTGCAAAGGCTGTCAAAACCTTCTTACGCACCCTTGTCTTCGATTTTGTCGACGTCTGGGAGTGGAATAATTCGGGAGGCGAGTGCCTTTTGTCGTTCTTGGGCTTTCAATAATTGTTGTTGCTTGAGGTCTTCGGCGGCTTTCATCATGAGAAGTTTCTGGAAACGGAAATTGTAAAATATACGGTACAGTAACGCCCACACCTAATCTGGTGTGTTAACGACGAAGTCTCACCCTAAGCTTCTTCTTTCTCTCCGGCGTAAGGAAACCCTTCTTGGCCTTCTTTTTGCTGCCGGCCTCCTCGAGCCTCTTTCGGACCTCAGCCTTCTTGCGCTCTCGCTCCTCAGCCTTGCGAGCGGCATCCTGAAATACCGTTTCATAAGTCGCTCAGTTACAGTGGTATAGAAGGACTCACATCGGTGTCGTCTGCTTGTGGGCCGCCGAAGCGGAGGGTCTCGTCGAAGTCTGACATAACTGAAACAAACAAGCTTTTCTCTTCGTATTACTAGTTGGTAGTGGAGCAACAGCCGAAAAGTTTACACGAACGGAAAACAAACGGACGGCAGATTGAAACCAGGTGTGGCATTTCAGCACCATTATGGTGATCTCTTCTGACAAAATGACTAGGCGAAGGAGAGGAGTTGAGGAAAAAGAGGATGAAGAAAAACAGGTAGAAGGGACCGGAACCAGTAGAGAGCTCCACGCATTAGAAGTCTGTTCTCTTAGAGTCTATTACTCCCTTGTTCATTAACTAGCGCCAGAGAAGCCGCAGAATGTGGTCTCATGAGATCACGTAAAAAATAAAACGTCTGGCATTGGTCATCCTCCGTTGTCCCCTTACTCCGAGGGTCCGTCCTCCCCTACTCCAAGAGCTCCATTTCATTCGGCATCGTAGTGTCTTCTGAGAACGATCTCGCCTGTACAAGGAGACACGGCTGTCACTCGCTGTCACTGAGCCCGGTTTTGTAGGGGACGACCATGATAGTTGGCCATCGCGCTACTGAAGGCATGATTGCCCACGGCAGGGCACTATCCTGGATTTGACCACCGTGTTTATGGAGAGCTTTCATGGGCCCACAACGTTACTTGGGTAAGGACAACTTATTTTATAATGAATTGTCTCACTAAAAGGCCCAGTATTGCCTTCTTTGGGAGCTTGCATCTACTGGAGCGGTACTTATGTTGAATTCAAGTCGTCTAAATTGTGGACGTAAAGCTGCACGTGCCAGTAAGGGGGGGGGGCGTCGATAGTACAGATCCCGTGGTCAGATCCTGAGCCATTCCAGCCTTTCAAGTGCTGGGCTGGGTAGGTTGGAAATTCTCAGAGCAAGCAATTCGTGTAGAGAAGGGGCTAGCACTGCCTTTCGCATTTCATCTCAGAATCCAGCACAACTTGCCACATCAGTGTAATGCTGACAGAAAATCTGAAGTGATGCATGGGACATCAGGAGGTCTCAAAATTAAGTAGAACAAGATCAGACCAGACAGACCGGTTTTCATTAACACAGTATTTCGACTAGGTAGGAGGTGAATTAAATTCATTCTCGATGGCACAGCTTAGGTCTCAAGGTTATAGTGAGAGGGAATGCTCACTTAGAACTAATGGAACTGTGTGATTAGGAGGCGGGTATTTATGTTCAGCACCTCTATTCTCTGACAAAAAGAAGGACAAACGTTCTCGAAACTTGGACGTCAGTCACGAAACAGCTGCCCACATGCTGATGTTTATGATCAAGTGAGTGGGAAGGGGCACACGAATGACGTACGAAAAGAAATAAATATATGCAAGTGATTTCCGGTCCAGTTCGATCAATATATCATGGTCCGCAGTCAGGTCGAGGGCTTAATATGTAGATGCCGAGGGATGTAAGCATTTACAGGGATCGAAGGGCCCACATCTGCTCAAAAGCAGGAGAGTTGTTTTCTATTTGGCCCACTTGATCTGCATTTTTCATTAATGCAACCAACTGGGCGGAGCTCAGTTCACACAAGGGCCTTCATCCAGCCCCATTCGCTGCTGATGCTGGGGCGTGTTGCTGGAGCGGTGGAGGAGGTCCGGCGTGGCCGTAAACCGCAAGAAGAAGAAGGCAAGCGGAAGCAGCTGGTGGAAAAGAAGCTGGCACCAGCTAAAGACACTCCCCTAGCATTCGCAGCGGACAAGGTCATACCACACCTAGGGATCAAATCTTGCCCAAGGTGAATGACCCCTACCTAGGTTTGGACTTGACCCCAGTGCCTTACAACACGGTGCTGTTAGGGAAACAGACGTACTGATCCTGGAATCGGCTCGCATCTGTGGGACGCTGCAAAGGCGGGGCACTCATGGAAACGCTAGACACATTTTGGTGCAAAGACGATGCATGGCGCATCTCCGAAAATCCGACTATGCTGCTTGTTCTCACTTCTTATACATACATTACACAATAACACCTTGTCCTAGCGAATCTAGAGGGGAATGTCTGATGACATCCCAACATTCCGAGAACATATATGAGCTTGGTCAGACATTCAGGAGTCTAAACCATCTACATATACTTACAGGTTGATTATTTGGTAAGATCCCATAGATACTTCGAAGTAACCTGTTCCAGTTATTTGAGAGCTCGCTATCAATCTGCGAAGATAACATCGGAAACGCCTAACACCTGTTGTGTGGGCGTGGTATACATGAGAGAACACATGCCACTCGCCCCCTTCTTACAGAGCAGCGCCTTCTCGTGGGCAGCTGATGGGTTATTTTAGCAACACGCGCTTTCAGAAGTTCAAAAAGGAGTAACACAAAAAGACAACGCCCCTAATTTCTCAAGAACCCACGGAAAGTGCTCCTACTTCTAAAGGGCCGCTTATCAAGCATATTTTTACTGAACTAGCCGAAATGGTGATCTTTTTGAGCCCATCGTTAGAACGAGGCTTGAATCTGGAACTTCTCAAAAAAGGGCCAAAAAGCCTGAAGTGGAAATACTCCTGAAATTAGTGAAGGTGAGTAAGCTAAAAAGCCTGGAATGAAAGTAGCCCAAAATTCTTGGAGCTAGAGAATCGCCAAGGCTATTGATCTTATCACAGGAGTAATCACTCATGGAGGTCAAGTAGATGCACGTACGCTCTTCATTACATGAATGGTTCATAGGACATATCTAGCCTTCCCTATTTCTGGGTCCCGTTCCAGGCGCAACTGGGAGGAATTCATTAAAGCGCCCTTGCCTGGTAGTAAGGATTCATAAACAGTATAAATAAAATGGTGTGGAAATTCCACATTCTGAGTGGTAGTTGAGCGCGTGGCGTATCCCAGCTGGCTGATAAGGAGGCCACGGATACCTAACCTACATATTTATTACTTTAAAATAAATAAAACACCGAAGATATGGATAGGGTAGCCGTATATCTGAAACGTCAAGTTCATTTCCTTTCAACTCGGGACACATTCCCTCGCCGACTGTTCGCGCGAGTTTACAGCGCCACCTAGCCCAACTTGCCCAAGTAGCCCACAATTTCATGTTTAATATGGACCCTCGTGCCATAGTTGCTCTATAGCACATTTCAGAAGGAAGATATTCAAAAGTATCACTATGATAGTGAGGCAATCCGAAGAACCAAGGTTTGTGTTAGAACCCAAAATGAAGAGAAACCATTCTTCTGGAGAGAAGAACTGTGACGAAGGTGGAGAAGACTTATAGGAACGAGACCAATGGGTTGTAGCTGACCCAAGGGCCAACAAATGCAGAAGATATGTGCAGTTGTATGTGCGAGTGAAGACGAATGTGAGGGTTGGCAGAGCCTGCCGGCAGCGATGGCGACGACGAAGGCATAGGCAGCAGTCGGCGCTGTAAAGCGCGGCTTGTGCGGCCCACGCACTAGGAATAGTTGAGAGCCGGCTAGCTGGGAGAAATCACGAAGATCCAGTCATTAGAATGTTCTAGAATCGAAGTCTGTAATGAAACCGTTTGGACGCTGCTTTCTCGATCACAGCTGGAGGAGGCTGGAAAGTAACCTGCGAACTGCACGTTATACCTGAACAAAGAACTTCCTAGAATGAAGGGACGGAAATTGATGAGCGCTCAGTTATTTGACTCAAACTGCTAGGAAAAGGTTATATATGTGCACCTGATACTGCAGAATTATGTGTTGGAGCTTCCTGATCAGAGAACAAAGAGCACGGATTTCGGAGAGAGGGGCAGCCTGGAGGCGGTCTCTTCATTCAGCCCTCGACAATCATGAACCTCATTGAACGATAGCTCTACTACGCATGGCAGATGCTAGCTACTGAGCTCTATTGAGGATTCGCCGTCGGAGGGGAAGACAAGCAAAGAATTGTCAGCTCAGTCTTCGTAGAAATCACAGCTTATAACCGTACTGCTCTCGGTGCAAATTGACCAACCTTTACTGGTCCAGGTGAGTGGAAAACGAGAATAGGAATGGATATCCACTGTTGAGGAGAAAACATTCCACGACCATAAAGCATGTACAAACCCGGAGGACATACGTCCACGCTGCGGCCAAAAAGAGCAGTGATAATTCTTTCGCACACCGCCGCCAGGACCTAATTAGGGTATAACGTGGATGCAGCGACCTCCACCCAAAATCTAGTGGGGATTCTACCACATGCAGGATGCGACCTGCTAAACTATGGTTCACCTTACCTTCCGTATCTCCAGAAGTGCACATCAAAAAGGTCTACATTCTTGTCATCCCCTCACGCACAGTACTCGTTCATAAAGACCTCCGAATGAATCTAGCGGTGTTTCTGCCACATACACGCCATGCACTTCTGTAGAATGGTGACAACGTAGCTTTTTCTCAGGCGGAAAAAATGCCGATTTCTTTTTGAAATTCGGATTTCTTTCAAAAATTAGCCAGACTATTTTTCTTTTATTCTCATACCCGACGATTGCTATGATTTTGTCTGTATACGTGTCAAGCTCTATTGGGCACTCTCCGATGCCCAGTAGAGCTTAGCGTCCGTGAAAAGGCTTCAAAGGAGGCGTTTTTCGCGTCAGTCTAAGGCTGCGTTCATACTTTGTGGCGGTGTGCACCAACGACCAGCAGTATCAACCCTGCGTCCACAGCGTTCCAAGCGTCCGGCGCGACGGCGGCTAGG